AGCAGGACACACATATATATATTGTGTGTTTGTGTATGTGTGTGTCTGTGTCTGTGTGCTTTAAAGTGTGGTTTTCCACACTGGTGCTTCCATGAGTTAAAAGATGAAAAATCTAATCCTACATCATTGCCATCTTTTCTCGTAAGTATATGAGAAAAAAATTCAAGACATTTTTTTTAAACCTGAATTTTGGTGCAAAATTCATCACCTTTGTGAGGAACAAAACACCAGCATCCTTTAGACCAGGGGTCCCCAGCCCCCAGTCTGTAGACCAGTATCGGGCCATGGCATGCCAGCAACCGGTCCGCACAAACAAGGAAAGCCCCATCTGTGGGATGCAGGCAGAACCCAAAATCACATCCCCTCCGGTCCACGGAAAAAACCTCTCTCCAAGAAACTGGTCCCTGGTGCCCAAAAGGTTGGGGACCTCTGCTTTAGACCAAGTTCTTTGTTCTCTTTCCAGAAGGAAAAGTGTGATGTCTTTCCCCCTGTTTTTTAATGTCTAGGCCTATAAAAAGAGGCTATTTAATATTACCTTGTTTTACACAGACACAAATATTCTTACTGGGGGAAAGTACTTTTCTTAACACGCGAAATGTAAATAAACTATTTTATTTGGAAGTTATGTACTGCCAGCTACCAAGGTCTCTAGGAGGTTGCCAAAAAGGGCTACACACCAGTTAAAAATCAAGAAAAAAAAGAAGTGAATAAAAAGATTTGCTCAGTAACTTAAGTTTGGTCTAGTGCAGGGGTAGGCACCTTGCTCTTTTATGGCTCCCAGAATTCCTGAGCCAGCCATGCTGAGGGGAAAGGGAGAGCTTCCAAGCTGAGCCATGGCTGGCTCAGGAATTCTGAGAGTTGAAGTCCACGAGTCATAAAGCGGCCTATGCCTAGGCCAGAGGTAGGCAACCTTGGCTCTTTTCTGATGCGTGGACTTCAACTCCCAGAATTCCTGAGCCAACCATGCTGAGGGGAAAGGGAGAGGTTTCCAAGCTGAGCCATGGTGGCTGAGGAATTCTGGGAGTTGAAGTCCACGAGTTATGAAGGGGCCAAAGTTTCCCTCACGCTGGCTCAGAAATTCTGGGAGTTGAAGTCCACGAGTCATAAAAGAGCCAAGATTGCCTATCTCTGATCTAGTGGTTAAATCACTAAAACAGAAGCCTGAAGACTCTGAATTCTAGTCCCACCTTAGGCATGAAAGCCATCTGGATGACTTTGGGCCAATCCCCTGCTATCAACCCAACCCACCTCACAGGGTCGTTGTGATAGGGAAAATAGGAGAAGGAAGGAGTATTAGGTATGTTTGCCACCTTGAGTTATTTATAAAAGTAATGAAGTTAGGATAAAAAAAATATAAAAAACCTGCAAACCTCGAGATCTCCTAAGAGAGAAAGGCAATGGTATGAGTAGATATTAGACAACACTTTGATCTGTTGACCACAAGCGGGCAAAATGGCAGTAGGAGCGGGAGCGGCTTCTGACTTCCTGACGGCTTCTCCATTGACTTTGCTCATGGGACGCTGTCAGGGGGTATCAGCTCTCCCTGGATGAAAGGTAACAGTAAAATAGATGAGCTAAATCTACTTTATTATAATTAGACTACAGAATCTTGCCAGTCTGAAGCTACAAACTTCCTGCCCTGATCCATTAGGGTGGGTCCTTCCTAAGTTTCTTCCTTTGACCATTAAGTCACTAGGGGCTCCTTCCTCTCTTATCATTGTTTTCTAGTGGCATCTCTTCCCCTGGGCCCTTGAGATGATTTCTGTATATCGTTAAAGGGAGCATTGGAAATAATCATCACTTGACCCCAGGGATAGCTGCAACAGCCACAACTTTGCAAATAAAACTGGTCTGAACAGTGTGAAAATCTCAATTCCACTGGATAGTGCAGGGGCAGGCAACCCTGGCTCTTTTATGACTCGTGGACTTCAACTCCCAGAATTCCTTGGAAACCTCTCCCTTTCCCCTCAGCGTGGCTGGCTCAGGAATTCTGGGAGTTGAAGTCCACGAGTCATAAAAGAGCCAAGGTTGTCTACCTCTGGCCTAGGCCTAGGCTGCTTTATGACTCGTGGACTTCAACTCCCAGAATTCCTGAGCCAGCATGGCTCAGATTGGAAACCTCTCCCTTTCCCCTCAGCGTGGCTGGCTCAGGAATTCTGGGAGTTGAAGTCCACGAGTCATAAAAGAGCTAAGGTTGCCTACCCCTGGGATAGTGGGCCCCTGATTTGTTTTTTATGTATTCCTTTAAGTTGGTGGATTTAAGGTAACATGACTAAAAAATTTGTTGAGGTACAATGTACTGTTTGGGCTATCTTGAGGGTACAAACAGTTAAACAATGAGACTTGTAGTAGTATATAGTTTTAGTAATATAGAGATGTGCTAAAGCAGAGCTCTCCAACCTTTCTGGGTGGGCAGCCCGGAGGGAAAGAGAGGAGTCAGGAAATATACCCATGCACCCTGTCCATGGACAAATGGTGTGCTAGCACCCGCACACATGCGTAAATGAGCCGCCAGCACCCACACGCATGCACAAACAGGCTGCTAGTGCCCGCATGATGCTGGCGGCGGTGTTAGCCCCCCCCCATGCATGTGCATGCACAAACAGGGCCGCTAGCATCCACACAGCGGCACTAGCGCGAATGGGGAGGATGCACTCCTCAGCCATTCCCATGGCCCTGTGGCCAAGAGGCTATGGACCGGTACTGGGCTGTGGCCCACAGATTGGGGAGCCCTGTGCTAAAGGAAGCTGTATGCTTGTTCATTAATCCATGTTCCCCATTTGTTTATAATGAGATTCTTCTCTTCCTCATTTCTCTTGGCCTTTTCCATGCATAACCTTTTCTTTTGCATAATTCAGTCCTTACTGTATAAAGATTATACAGTAATCTTGCTGACAGAATAAATAGGCCGCCTGTTTTTGGTTGTCCTTGTGGTTAATAAAAATATATTATCCTCATTAGTGATTCCAAGAATATCTCAAATATGTTAAATGACTGATGAATAGGCAAGGATTTGTATTTCTCCTCCCTCCTTTGAAACACTTGCCAGAAAACCTACCAATGATTGATCAAGTCTGGTCAAGTCACGTGACCATGCGTGCCCTAAAGTGGTTGTGTATTGGTGGGCGGGGGGGGGGGAGGGAGGAAAGCACGGCAACATTAATAATACACCATATCTCAGGTTTAGATTAAGCAGCAAAGACAAATTACTGTCCTGAATGAAAAGATCCAGCCTAAGATTGTTTAAAGCAGGGGTGTCCAACCTTGGCAACATTAAAACTGGTAGACTTCAACTCCCAGAATTCTCCAGCCAACATGGCTGGAGAATTCTGGGAATTGAAGTCCACCAGTTTTAAAGTTGCCAAGATTGGACACCCCTGCTTTAAAGCACGAGCTGGGAATAGACCCAGTTAGTATCGTGTGAACAGGTGTGGCAGAGATCAAGGCTGTCTTGTGTGCTGAGATCAAACTTTTCCCAATTTTCTTCTGGGAGCTGAAGTTCAACCAACGTCAAGCTGCCAGGTTTGAAAAAAAAAACAACCACAGATTCTCATCTGGATGGACACCTTGGCTGGACAACCAAAGCGCCACCACGCCTGAGGCTCAGTTCTCAGTCCAACTAGCAAGCAGGCTTTGAAAAATCTGAAATCAGTTCTACAAAGCACCCCTTTTCTCCTCCCAGGAATTTCCTGCTTTATAACACTTGCAGGCAGTGAGCCAAGCCACAAGGAATACAAAGTTTTGGCAGGCTTTCGACTATCCCTAGAGAACATTCTTCCCAGGTTTCAGGGAGGAAGCAACTGGCATTCTGACTTTTCTCTAGGGATTTTTTTTTGCAGCTAAGACAGTTTTCAGCCCTGACAGGGGTATCTGCAGGGTGCGGCGAAAAAGTTAGGATGGCAGCCAGGATAGTGAGATTAAACTCCCTCTGTTTTTTAGGATGATGCTTTGCACATTGGAAAAAAAAAAAGTATCAAGCAGAGCATTGGTCTCAGCACTGGGGATGCCATCCTGATTTTATTTTATATTGATTTTGTTTTATAACATGCATTTCCCCTTGAATAGTATAGGGCAGTGGTGGCGAACCTATGGCACGTGTGCCAGAGGCGGCACTCGGACCCCTCTCTGTGGGCACACCTGCCATTGCCCCAGCCTCGCCTCCCCCCATGACCCCCTCCTCTCCAGCAGCCCCCCTGAAGGAAAGTCACCCCTGAGTGTGGCCCACATGGCAGGCAGGCAGCATAGACAAGACTCTGCCCTCACACCCCATTGTGCACAGTTGATGCTGCAGGGCGCGGGCAGAGGGTGTGACTGCCATAGTGCTGCTGGCATGCCTGGACAATCTGTGGTGGGCCCTCAAGGCGGTGAGTGGCCCTGCGGGCAAGCAGGACGGGATGGGGGGCAGAGCAGGGGCGGGGCAGGGGGTGGATCAGGGGTGGGACCAGGTTTTGGGCACTCGGTCTCTAAAAGGTTCACCATCACTGGTATAGGGGTAGTATTGATAGAGGCAGAAACTGCAGGTGGACATCTAATATTTTGGGGGGACTCGGAGGCAGGGAGGGAGGGAGGTAGGGACCATTGGAAAACCACTGGAAAGAACAACAAAAAATCCTAAATATATATGCTTTACATTCACAAATCATTTAAAAAAAAATCAAGTGTTTGTAACCGCATCCTCCAATCTGCCCCTGTCTTAAGTGCGTTGTGCATGCCAAACCTCCAAAAGGGCTTCATTGCACAGTCGCACCTGCTCTCTTGATTTTTTTTTTTTTTTTGACATTCCAGACTGCCCTGGTGAGACCCACACATCCTGCCATGCCATGCGATTGGCAGCCTGTGGTCCTGAGTCCAGCAAAACGGCAACACCAAAATTCATCAGCAAAAAAATATGCCTTTCAGAGACCTCGCCCTCCAGTTCCTATTCCTAAAACCCTGAAAAAAACTGGTGATCAGAAGAGGATCTTTTTCTGGTGATCTGTTGGTCTCCTGTTCCTCTCCAGAAAGTCAAGAGGTTGAATCGTGGCCCCAACTCATCCAACATTGCCACAACATGATGTGTGTTGTTTTGATGAGCCCAGATCCTGCTTCGAGACCAGTGGCTCCCAAACTTTTCTATGCGCCACAGCCCTAGAAAATGTTTAATTAATGTTTGCGCCCTCAACAAAAGTCACTGTGACTTGTGACTCATCACTTAGGGACACCAGCCCCCCTTTGGTGCTTCCTCTGAAATACTGTCGTGCATGAGTTAGGAACTCATGATCTGGGTTGTGGTTGTTGAACAAACCATGATTAAACCTGCCACAGTTTGGTGCAAGCTGTGAACCAGGTCTGAATGCTTTAGATGCCACCTTGGACCAATGTCACTGTTTTGTTTGACTCTGTGAGGTTTTTTGCAAAACCTATCAAGCTTGAAGCCCATTTTTGGATGAAGCTCTTTGTGTCATCTGCAGAAGACCGAAAGTGGTGTTCAGGACAACCATCTTGTTTTGCTTGCTTGCTTTCTATAAATAGCAAACCCACCCAGCACTCTTTGAAGAATAAAAGAAATGTCGTTCTGGTTGGAAATTGAGTCAGGAGGGGTGTGGCTCCTTAAAATAACACATTCTACCACACGCTTAAACAATTCAGGGCAAATCAGATGTCTAGGTGGGATTAAGCATGCAATGGATTTGCGCTCCTTGAGTCTCTCTATGCCGTTGCACAGACGCTGGGGAAACCTAATCTTCTACGTGAGGCCTGTTTCGCCATGTAACTTGAGCTATGCTCCATTAAAATGAGATTATTCTGATTTTGAAACAAGCAAAGAAGAATCTGCTTAGAGCACAGGGACAATTGACCATAAATGAAACCACAAGCCAGAAAGATATTGAGTGGCTTATGAAAATGGAAAGGTGATTCACATTTTCATGCCATTGTGCGTCTCCACCCATGAGGTCATGCTCATGTCAGGTAAACACTCCATGGGGAAAGGTCCATGCCCTTATATTGGCACCAAGGGCACAATGCTTCCCAAGTAGGACAGTGGGGTCTGTTTCAAGAACTCTCCATGCTTTTTGTCAATTTAGCAAACTGCCCTATTTTAGCCTAAACACCAAGAATCTTTGTTTACTAGCAATGTGCTTAAGTAGCAAAACCAGCCCCTGTTATTATTATTATTTTTTTTTACAGAAGAGCAAAAACAAAAATGCCTATTTTGATCTAAGGTCACCAATTGGTACTGTCATTAAAAATAGTCTTTATTTTTCAGTCTGCAGATCAGCTCATTGCTGGCAAAATGGCACCTGAGAGCAGACGGCATAGATGGGATCCCAAAAAGAAATTACTGTAAAAAGGGTTGGTTTGTTTGTTTTTTAATTGTAATGGCCAAAGTCTTACAGGATCACTACATCTCACAAGAGTTTGGTGTTCCCAGGTGAAATCTAGTGAGTGTCAACGCTGCTAACATCGGGTGTTCTTGCTTTGACAATATATGAAGATGCAGCCATTTTCTCTTTAACCTGTGTATTACTTTTAGAATTAGATGGTGCTGGAAGGGAGGGGGAAGAATGTGCATGGGGATTAGTTAAGACATAACAATATCTCAGTAGAGTATTCTTCAAGGTTGTTTGAAATAAGAGAAGATAAGAAATGGCTAGTTGGAATTGGAGGGAAAGTTCGCACTTCAAACTAATTGGAGAATGTGATTAATGACTGTTAAAGGGAGGAGTGAATTATGCTTGGATACTATGTGTTTAGGGGAGGAGAATTCAGATTTTGGCTTTGCCTATGTACGTGCCGAAGCTATGTTGCTCAATTAAAGATTCCTTAAGGTAAACAATGCCTCAAAGTTCTTTGAAGAGTTTCATCGTTCGGAATCATGACAGTGAGCTTGGGAGAGAGAAGACTAAATCTTCCTGAGATTCAATGATCCTTGAAGATTTTGGCCCTTATTTGGACCAAAAGACACCTGTAGGATTTTAATGGCTTACTAGTGGACTTTGGAGCACATGTAGCGAACCCTTTTTTTTACATCAGGCAAGACAATTTAATGACATCTAATTATTAAGAAATAAAATATATTACCACATCCTGGGAACCCCTCATTGTTTCTTCTGTTAATAGCTATTTGAAGCACACATTGATCAGGCCCATTTCCCGAATATTGGCAGGCCGATCAATGTGACATCTTCCCAATGACTTTTGTGTTTCTTCCAGAATGAAAATCCAGGACCTGGACTTTATAATATCACCCACCAATCTCTGCTTCTCAACGATGTCTCCCAGTCTCGGAAAGGAACCTGTTTTTTCCCTTCCTTGGTAAGGAAAATAGTTTATGGAAATCATTTATGTGCAGAGGAGAAAATAACAGAAATAAGGTCACACTATCGCACTTTCTAGCTCATACTTTTATTTTCCTGCTCTTTAAAAGCACTGTATTAACTCTCTGTGACAGAGAGATAAAAGGTGCAATCACTTCAACTTGGCTTTCACTGTTAAAAGTAATTTACAAAAGAAATTCCTTCTAAATGTAGTGGAATCAACTTTTTCTAACCCCGATCTTAACCTTAACCCTGAAATATGTGTTCTTGCTTATCCAAAACTGGATTTGCACGTTTGGTTATGGATGCGGCTTTTTTAGTTTTGCAAGTATTCATTTGTTAATCAAACTTATAAACACCCCCATCTTACTGTCTTAAGTGATTCTGCATGGTTTACAAGCTAGAGGAAGTCAGCCATTTATAAACCAGAGGTTACATTATAGTGAAGCCTACCAATATTGATTTATTCACTAAACCATGGTTGAACAAACTACAGCTTGGTACTATTCATAAGACTAAACATGCATGATTCTGGAGCACAATTGCTGGTGTTGAGTGGCTACCACACCCTTTTATCCTACCAAGTGGAAATATTCCAATATATCTTTGCAAAACTGCCTTATAAATATACTTTTAAAAAGCAGCAGAGTTCTGCTCCATTCTCTTCTGCATCAGACATATTTCCAAATTATGCTTTTAATAATGTCAGAATCTGGAGACCTGAAATGAACAAATGGATCATCAAATAATTCAGTAGAAAAGTGCAGGCTGAGAGATTTCTTGATTATGTGCCAGCAAGTTTGTGTCAACTTCTAGCAACCACGCAGATGGCTCTTTTCCAGGAGTATCTGTGTCCAACTCTTGGTTCTCCCACTTTTCCACTGTTCCCATTATAGCTGAGTCCATCCACATTGCTTCTCCTTCCTTCCACCTCTCCCAGCATTAGAGTTTTCTCCAGAAAGCTACAATAGGTCTTCCCATAATACAGTGATGGCAAACCTTTTAGAGACTGAATGCCCCAAAACCGGCCCCGCCTGCCCACGCTCCACTCCCGCTCTGCCCACGCTCCACTCAAAGTCCGGCCCCGCCCACCCACAGGGCCACCCACTGCCTCCATTGCCCAGCAGCGCAATGGCGGCCATGCCCTCTGCCCGCACCCTGCAGCATCATCTGCCCGCAATGGGGCACAAGGGCGGAGTCTTGTCCCTGCTGCCTGGCTGTCATGTCCTTGGCTGTGCTGCTCCGCGCCGGCTGTGCTCGGGGAAGACTCTCCTCTGGGGGGGGGATGCTGGTGAGGAGGGGACCACGGGGGAAGGTGGGTCTGGGGCGACGGCGTGAGTGCCCACAGAGAGGGCTCTGAGTGTCCCCTCTGGCACTCGTGCCATAGATTTGCCACTACTGCAGCGGTTCTCAACCTATAGGTCGCGACCCCATTTGGGGTCGATCGACCATTTCACGGGAGTCTTCAAGCAAGGCTGTCCGCCATTTTTTTCCCTTTTCTGGCGGGTGCCTTACCTCCCTTGGGCTGGGCCAGCTGGTGGCCCAGCCGGTGGTTGGCCTACTCCGTCTCTGCCGCTTGCCAGCTATGCCTCGGCCGGCGCAGGGGGCAGCAACATGCATGTGCGGTGCTCCCAGGCAGGGAAAGTCCCCGACTTACAACCGGTTGGGTAGTCCTCGACTTACAACCGGTTTAGTCCTCGACTTACGACCGGTTTAGTCCTCGACTTACAACCGGTTGGGGGTCGCGGCATTAAAAAGGTTGAGAACCACTGCACTACTGCCATAATGTGTCAACAGTACAGTCGTTCAAGCCTTGTCCTTTGTTCCCTAAATGACAATTTTGGGTTGAATTGTTTGATGATCCATTTGTTCATTTTCTTGGCAGTCCATGTTATTTTCAGAAATTTTCCCCAATGCCAAAATTCAATACAGGTAATCCTTGACTTATTACCACAATTGAGCCTAAAATTTCTTTTGCTAAGTAATAATTCAATTTGATAATTGAATGTTGCCCCATTATACATCCTTTCTTACCACAGTTGTTAAGCAAATCACTGCAGCTTAGTTAGTAACACAGTTGTTAAGTGAATCTGACTTCCCCATTGACTTTGGTCACAAAGGGTGATCACATGACTCCAGGACACAGCAACCAGCTACACAGCAAAAAAAGTAAGGTTCTACATTTAGGCAAGAAAAACCAAATGCACAGGTATAGTATAGGGGGTACCTTGCTCAATAGTAGTAACTGAGAGGGATCTTGGAGTCCTAGTGGACAATCACTTAAATATGAGCCAGCCGTGTGTGCTGCAGCTGCCAAAAAGGCCAACACAGTGCTGGGCTGCATTATCAGAGGGATAGAATCAAGATCACGTAAAGTATTAATATCACTTTACAATGCCTTGGTAAGGCCACACTTGAAATACTGCATCCAGTTTTGGTCACCACGATGTAAAAAAGATGTTGAGACTCTAGAAATAGTACAGAGAAGAGCAACAAAGATGATTAGGGGACTGGAGGCTAAAACGTATAAGGAACGGCTGCTGGAATTGGGTATGTCTAGTTTAATGAAGAGAAGGCCGAGGGGGGACATGATAGCAGTCTTCCAGTATCTCAGGGGCTGCCCCAAAGAAGAGGCAGTCAAGCTATTTTCCAAAGCACCTGAAGGCAGGACAAGAAGCAACGGGTGGAAACTAGTCAAGGAGAGAAGCAACCTAGAACTAAGGAGAAACTTCCTAACAGTGAGAACAATTGATCAGTGGAACAACCTGCCTCTAGAAGCGGTGAATGCTCCAACACTGGAAGTTTTTAAGAAGAGACTGGACAGCCATTTGTCTGAAATGGTGCAGGGTTTCCTGCCTCAGCAGGGGGTTGGACTAGATGACTTCCAAGGTCCCTTCCAACTTTATTATTATTATTATTATAACCATTGTAAATTTCACGTGAGATGCCAAGTGCCTGAATTTTGATCACGTGACCGTGGGGACGCTACCATGGTTGTAAGTGTAAAAAATGGTCACAAGTCACTTTTTTCAGTGCTGTTGTAACTTGGAATGATCGCTAAATGAATGCTTGAAAGTTAAGGCCTATTTGTACTCTCTATCCTGATTTTATTTTGCCCTTCCCAAACAATCTATATAAATAAAAATCTAAATGTTCGTTTGTTCAAAATCTTAAATCTCCGAAAGTTCTTCACTGATTGCTTTGAAATTTTGAAACAACGTTGCATTTGAATACGTGCGTGTTTTTATATACCTATATTATATAGATGTCACACCTGTGACAGGTAAAAACATACTTTTTTTGAAAAAACAGTGCCATCTGTTGGAGGTAAAAGCAACACACGGTACGATTTCAGACAATCTCTATATCTGCACAGACAATGGAACAAGCCTTGCGAAATTAAACATATTACAAACGTGCGCTTTCTCTTTTCTTTCTTTTCCATTTAACCAGACTGAGCCACAGCAACGCATGGCTGGGCACAGCTAGTAATGAATAATATGTGTTTGCTAGTAATCAAAAATGACTTGATGGTACATAATCAGATTATCTCAACAAGGTTTACAACCGCCCTATGAAATAGGCCAGTCTGGTAAATTCTGTAATATATCTGAGCTGACATTTAAGCCAGACTCGTCTTTTGCAGTTCATATTCTTAACCAACTTGGTATACTAGCTTGTTGAATTTTGAGACGATTTTAATCACACGATATATTTTAATCCTGATTAATGTGGTGAGAGCTTATATTTACGTCATCACAGAGACAATTTGTCCAAAACTGTCACTGGTGTGGCAGCTAAATAGCAGCTGTCATCACACTGTCCAAGAAAGAGTTGTGATGTGGATATGATGCAATAAATCAGCTTGCAGTGATGTTACCACTCCAGGGAGGAGCTGAACAGGATTCACATTGGAATGGAAATTCTTGTTGAGATAGCAATCTCATCATAAAGACGTGAGTGGGGAATCAAAAGGAAATATGATACTCCTACAACACAACTTTCGGCACCACATCTCCCAAATTTCTTAGTGAAATACATAGAATGCAGTACTGTCATGAAATGATTGCCTTTCCCTGATTTAACTGGAAATGTAAAAAAATCGGAAATAATAATAATAATAATAATAATAATAATAATAATAATAATAATAATAATAATAATAATAATAATACAGTTGGAAGGGACCTTGGAGATCATTGAGTCCAACCCCCTGCTCAGGCAGGAACCCTACACCATTTCAGACAAATGGCTGTCCAGTCTCTTCTTAAAAAAATTCCAGTGTTGGAGCATTCACCGCTTCTGGAGGCAGGTTGTTCCACTGGTTAATTGTTCTAACTGTCAGGAAGTTTCTCCTTAGTTCTAGGTTGCTTTTCTCCTTGCTCAGTTTCCATCAGTTGCTTCTTGTCCTGCCTTCAGGCGCCTTGGAGAATAGCTTGACTCCCTCTTCTTTGTGGTAGCCCCCGAGATATTGGAACACTGCTATCATTCCCCCCTCGTCCATGGTGCTTTCTGAATGTGGTTGTTTGATTGCAGACATTTCATTACCTGACTAGGTAACATCAACAGTTGGGTAAGGAATGTCTGCAAACAAACAGCCAAACTCAGAGTGCATCAAGGTCTCCTTAAATGGACTTTTGGGGGTAGGGGTGGTGATAAAGCTGACCCAATGGTATACCTAAACATTCTTCAGCTTCATTTTATTCCAACCTTTGCAGGATGTCCGGATCGCTCACCAGAGAATTCCCAACTATCCTGCTTCAAATGCCTATGACATCCCACCTACTCTGCATTCCAAGAAAGACTTCAGCTTGGGGTACTCTAGCATGTTTCATCCACCATTTGCCAGGAAGATTCCCAAAAAGGCCACGCCAGCCCCCAACCAATACAATGTAAGAAATGATATAGCCCCAGGGGAAAGGTGGTGGAGAGCAGAAGACCAATCTCAACCTCAAAAGTATCAAGCGTAGGAAATCAGTGGTCCAGGCAGTTCAGATGAATCTGTCTGTCTGTCTGTCTGACTGACTGACTGTCTGTCTAGCTGTCTTAGCTATCTACTTATCTAGGATTACTGTATGCTAAAGCTCTCTATAACAGGGATGTCAAACTCAATTTCATTGAGGGCCGCATCAGCATTGCGGTTGCCCTCGGGGTGTGTGTATGTGGCTAGGATGGGTACGGCCTACTGGGTGGGCATAGATGGAGTGGGTGTGGCCTACTGGGTGGGCATGGCCAGCTCTACATCATTCGTGTCAAGAGTGCCTGTGGGGGCCTGGGCAGGAGTGGGACAGATCTGAGGGTCTCTGGCAGAAAGGGGTGGGACCAGGGCAGAGCCCATCAAGCCGGATATGTGAAGTAGGCGAGGGCCATTTGCTGGCCACTTCCAGGCAATGGTCCATGTCTTCATTCCTCACAAAGGGTGACCCCTCCCCAGCATGCACCCAGGGGGCGGGGCCGACACAGCAGGGGCTGGTTCCTCGCTGTTTCTAGACAGCCTTGTGGAGCTAAGACTGAATGCGTTTCAGCCTAGATGGCCACCACAAAATTGTACATTGGCTTCCGGCCAGCCTGGGCCAGGGCCAAGGCAGCGGGGGCCATTCCCTTACTGTTTCCAGGATGGCTTCGTGGGCCACATGAAACCACTTTGCGGGCCGCATCTGGCCCCCGGGGCCTTGTGTTTGACGTGTCTGCTCTATAAGAATCTGAACTACTGATGGTCAAAGGGAGTTGGCCAAAGAATTCCATTGGCCACGCAATTCAAGGTGGGCAGGACTTAGATCTCTTGTGGGTGTGAAGGGACTCAAGACTGATGATGTGCTTGACCCCTCCCTTGGGCTCAGCCTGGACAGATCTCCTACATCAAGGATGGAAAGAGGCAAGTTGGGGAAATGATGAAGGAGGAAGGAATTGAATGGAAGCTCAGTAAGTGAGCTGCCCACTTCTATCTTATTGAAGGCATAGTTTCATTAAAGCAGTATTTATCGACCCTCTCTCCCCTACCCACCATTTTAATGTTTCTAAGGTTGATAAACACTCCGTTGGCGCATTTGCATCAAGCCCCATTCATTAGTAGGGAGGAGAGGTTGAGGCACGCTAGATTTTTCTCAAGAAAGATGTGCATGCGCCAATGTTAACTCAATCCAATCCTTCTTCGTTTTCTTGAGGCCACCCAATGTTAGTTAAGTGATGCCACCTACTGTGAGAGATAGGAAATTAATGTACTGAATTATATTTAGAAACAAACTAATAATTAGAAGCAGCATTCTCCTAAATAAAAAAAAGCAAAGTATACCTGCGGGTTTGAAATTGGACTGGATGGCTCTATTTATTTATTTTTTAATATCGAATACAGTGCAGTGAAGTGCAGAGACAGAGGTGAACTGTAGGGAAATAGATATATCAGGCCACGAATGGATCAGTTAAGCCTGATCTCTCCTGGTTTGCAAGGGATCTACAAGGGTAAATGATCTTCTTCTAGATCAGGGGTCTTCAAACTTGGCCCTTTTATGACTTGTGGACTTCAACTCCCAGAATTCCTCAGCCAGCATGCCTCTTCTAGATCAGTGTTTCCCAAACTTGACAATTTTAAGGCATGTGGACTTCAACTCCCAGAATTCCACAGCCAGCGTTGCTGGCTGTGGAATTCTGGGAGTTGAAGTCCTCATGCCTTAAAATTGTCAATTTTGGGAAACACTGTTCTAGATGACTCTACATTTTATGTGCCATAAAACTCATGATTTGCCACATTTGTATTTCACCTTCTCCGACTCTGCTTTTTGGTAGCATTTCATCTAGGGAAGAAATTTTGCAGACCCTGAAAACTTGCCCAATGTTTTTGGTATTGCGGTTGATCCTAACAAAAGTTTTGGCCATTTATGGAACAGAAGAGTATACAGTATAGTTCAAGAATAGTTTGTGTATAGTCTTAATGTAGGGCAGTGGTGTCAAACTCAATTTCATTGAGGGCCGCATCAGCATTGCGGTTGCCCTCGGGGGGGGGGCAGGTGTGTGTGGCCAGGGTGAGTGTAGCCTACTGGGTGGGTGTGGATGGAGTGGGTGTGGCCTACTGAGTGGGCGTGGCCAGATCTACATCATTCGCGTCAAGGGTGCCTGTGGGGGCCTGGGCAGGAGTGGGACAGATCTGAGGGTCCCTGGCAGAAGGGGGTGGGATCGGGGCAGAGCCCATCAAGATGGATATGTGAAGTAGGTGAGGGCCATTTGCTGGCCACTTCCAGGCGATGGTGCATTTCTTCATTCATCCACAAAGGGTGACCCCTCCCCAGCATGCACCCAGGGGGGGGGCCGACACGGCAGGGGCTGGTTCCTCGCTGTTTCTAGACGGCCTTGTGGAGCTAAGACTGAATGCGTTTCAGCATAGATGGCCACCACAAAATTGTACATTGGCTCCCGGCCGGCCTGGGCCAGGGCCAAGGCAGCGGGGGCCGTTTTTTCCAGGATGGCTTGGCGGGCCACATGAAACCACTTTGCGGGCCGCATCCAGCCCCCGGGCCTTGTGTTTGACATGTCTGATGTAGAGGGCATCGAGAACTGCCTTGAAGACAGGAGGAGGACTTGCTACTAAGGCCATGGTCAGCTAAGAGGGGCTTGGGCCCAGGCCAAGAAAGGCACGTGAGGAAAAAAAAATCCCTCCTTAGGTCACCTGAGGATAAAGGGAGGTAGAGCAAGCATCTTTCAGACTTGCAAGGTTCTGTCACTATAGCTGGCCTATTAGTCTACTGAAGTAATTCTGATCTATATGGCATTGGTTTCATAGTCTGGTCTACATTTAGGCAAGAAAAACCAAATGCACAGGGATAATATAGGGGGTACCTTGCTCAATAATAGTAACTGTGAGAGGGACCTCGGAGTCCTAGTGGACAATCCCTTAAATAGGAGCCAGCCGTGTGTGCTGCAGCTGCCAAAAAAGCCAACACAGTGCTGGGCTGCATTAACAGAGGGATAGAATCAAGATCACGTGAAGTGTTAATACCACTTTACAAGGCCTTGGTAAGGCCACACTTGGAATACTGCATCCAGTTTTGGTTACCACGATGTAAAAAAGATGTTGAGACTCTAGAAAGAGTACAGAGAAGAGCAACGAAGATGATCAGGGGACTGGAGGCTAAAGCATATAAGGAACGGCTGCTGGAATTGGGTATGTCTAGTTTAACGAAGGGAAGGATGGGGGGGACAGGATAGCAGTATTCCAATATCTCAGGGGCTGCCATAAAGAAGAGGGAGTCAAGCTATTTTCCAAAGCATCCAAAGGCAAGACAAGAAGCAACGGATGGAAACTAATCAAGGAGAGAAGCAACCTAGAACTAAGGAGAAACTTCCTGATAGTGAGAACAATTAATCAGTGGAACAACCTTCCTCCAGAAGCGGTGAATGCTCCAACACTAGAAGTTTTTATGAAGAGACTGGAGAGCCATTTGTCTGAAATGGTATAGGGTTTCCTGCCTGAACAGGGGGTTGGACTAGATCACCTCCAAGGTCCCTTCCAACTTTATTATTATTATTTCACCAGTTACCTGGTGAGAAGCATGGAAAGACGAATGAACGGTGAAATGACACTGAAGGAAAGGCAACTGATCTTCAGTGCACCTCTCAGTTTTTGCCCCAAAGCCATTCCCTGCAATTCTTCGCTGCATCAGCAGTCTCAGCCCACACTAAAAAAAATATGAATTGAAACTGAATATTACAGAGAAGATTTCTGCTGGGAAGAAGAAAATCCTCATGAGTTAATCACTAACTGGTGATTTACTTTTAGACTTACTGTAAGGCGTAACCTTCGGAGGAGCCAAAGAGGAAATGATCTATTAAAGAAAAAGTAGAGGAGCACAATAATTTATGGCTGTGGATGAGGAGACCAAAGGGGAAGAAATAAAGACTCATATTTGCAGCATGTATTCAAGCAGAGTTCAGCCCAAGAAGATAAAGGAGGAGAATTAGATAAGAGCGCCAGAGTGGGCTGGAGGGGGGAAAGTACAGTAAGCTTGAACACCAAAAGAAAAACAAATCAAAATATTTTCTTTGGAGTTTTTCTCTATTGCCCAATTAATTTGCTTGCTTTTAGCCTTAGAGATCCATTTTCCTACAGAAGCTCAAGTCATTAGACAGAACACTGTTTCATTTTTCCTACCAGAACTACCCTGTAGGGTAGGCTATGCTGAGAAAGATGGATTGACCCAAGACCTCTTAACATGGACAGCTGAAGGTGGGTTTAAACTTGGGTTATGCTTCAGCTAGGAATCTTCACCCCTCCCCTCCCCATGAGACCTCCCCCCTTTCAAGTCCTTTTGGACCACCTCAGCAGCCAATTCTCAACCAACATCATTTGTTGTTGTTGTTAGTTGCGAAGTCGTGTCCGACCCATCGCGACCCCATGGACAATATTCCTCCAGGTCTTCCTGTTCTCTACCATCTTCTGGAGTCCATTTAAGCTCACGCCTCCTGCTTCAGTGACTCCATCCAGCCACCTCGCTCTCTGTCATCCCCTTCTTCTCTTGCCCTCCATCTTTCCCAGCATTAGGCTCTTCTCCAATGAGTCCTTCCTTCTCATTAGGTGGCCAAAGTATCTGAGTTTCAACTTCAGGATCTGGCCTTCTAAAGAGCAGTCGGGGTTGATCTCCTCTAGGACTGACTGGTTGGATCGCCTTGCAGTCCAGGCGACTTGCAGGAGTCTTCTCCAGCACCATAGTTCAAAGGCCTTAATTCTTTGGCGTTCATCCTTTCTTATGATCCAACTTTCACAGCCATACATTGCAACTGGGAAAACCATGGCCTTGACTATACATACTTTTATTGGCAGGGTGATGTCTCTGCTTTTTAGACTGCTGTCTAGATTTGCTATAGCTTTCCTCCCCAGGAGCAAGCGTCTTTTAATTTCCTGGCTGCCGTCCCCATCTGCGGTGATCTTGGAGCCCAGGAAGATAAAATCTGTCAACATCACCAGGTACCCCAAATATCTTAGCCCCCTCTTCTCTTTCCCTAGGCCAGCTGCATAGAGAGGAGAACTGAGGTCTAACCAAGCAGAAGAGCACTGGGCTAATAAAAAAGGCTACTTTGTTTGTCTCCAAAAACACTGGTTGATATGAGAGAGCCCAACACTGTTGATTCACTTTGGATCAAATTGGGCTTTATCATATTTTGTTGTCACCTGAAATGGACCCAGATCAAGCTAGGACTTGTGGGGTTCTTTCTTTTTTTTGACAAGTGTAGAAGATGTTACTATCTTGTACCAAAGCCCTTAGATTATCACAAGAGACAAGGAGTGATGGGAATTTCAGTGCAGCAGGGATGTTTAGCGCCCCAAAGAGATGACTGCTATGAAGAATATCCAGTCGGATGTTCTCCAGATGAATTGGACTACCATCCCCATCTTTCTAAACTCTGGAGGGCGCCAGGTTGGTGAAGGCTTCTCCAGACTCTGATGTTCCAATTATGTCACCAATGTCCCTATGCATGATGTTTTATTTGGAGGCTAATTTGTTATGGATTAGAAAAGATAATTAGTTTTCAGACAAAGAATTCCTTACAAAGTAGATCCAAAGATTACACCTTTCCCTCAGCGTTGTACCAAATTCACCGTAGGATAATGAGCCCTTAATTTATCTATTTGTACTCACTAAAAAACAGGTGTGTGTGAACTGAGAAAAAACACATTATAAAAGCTTCAGTTTAGCAGCTATTGTTTTTGCCCTTGACATCTGTTAATATAGACCAGACATGTCAAACACAAGGCCCGCGAAGTGGTTTCATGTGGCCCGCGAAGCCATCCTGGAAACAGTGAGGGAATAGCCCCCACTGCCTTGGCCCTGACCCAGGCCGGCCGGGAGCCAATGTATAATTTTGTGGTGGCCATCTATGCTGAAACGCATTCAGTCTTAGCTCCAGAAGGCCATCTGGAAACAGCGAGGAACCAGTCCCTGCCGCATCGGCCCCGTCCCCTGGGGGGCATGCTGGGGAGGTGTCACCCTTTGTGAGGAATGAAGAAATGCACCATCGCCTGGAAGTGGCCAGCAAATGGCCCTCGCCTACTTCACATATCCGGCTTGATAGACTCTGCCCCGGTCCCCCCCTCCCCTTCTGCCAGAGACCCTCAGATCTGTCCCACTCCTGCCCAGGCCCCCACAGGCACCCTTGACGCGAATGATGTAGAGCTGGCCAAGCCCACCCAGTAGGCCACACCTACTCCATCCACACTCACCCAGTAGGCTGCACCCACCCTGGCCACACCCACCCGGCCCCCTGAGGGCAACCACAATGCTGATGCCGCCCTCAATGAAATTGAGTTTGACACCCCTGATATAGACCATGGAGAGCACGTAGACCAGCGGTTCTCAACCTATGTGTCGCGATCCCATTTGGGGTCGAACGACCATTTTACGGGGGTCGCCAAACAACGCGATCCGCCATTTCCCCCCCTCAGGGGGCGCGCCGTGCATGCGCGCCGCACATGGGGGTGCCCCACACGCATGCGCGCTGTGCATGGGGGCACCTCTGCGTATGCGCGCCGTGCATGGGGGCAACGTCGCGCATGCGCGGTGCGTCTGTGTGACGGGGGTCGCCGTCACACAAAGGTTGAGAAACGCTGATGTAGACCAAAGCGAATCATTTAAAGTAGTGTTTCTCAGCCTTGTCAAATTTAAGATGTGTAGACTTCAGTTCCCAGAACTCCCTAGCCAGCCCCTTGCTAAGGAATTCTGGGAGTTGAAGTCAACACATTGTCAAGCTGCCAAGATTGAGAAACAGTGTTTTGAAGAATAAAACACAGATCATCATACTTGATTCTGTACAATTTCATTCCTCCATACGAGATTCTGTATTTTAATAAAATGGTGGAGTACATTACTTTTTAAAAAAATGTACAAGAGAGTTTTATATAACTATGACCAAAGGCCATGCCATAAAGGTGGATCTTTGTGTTAGTTATTGAATTTTATTCTCAGATAATAGCATTCACATATTTTAACAGATTATTATTTGGCTGATGCGCTTGCAATACTTCAGGCGGAGAAATTGTATAACAAGCGCCACTGTTTTGGAAGCAGGCAGATTTAATGTCCAATTAAAAAGCAATCTAATGACACCTGAAAGATCAGCTTGTTGCAAAACACAGATTTGCATTTCCAGGTTTCAGTGGATCTCTGCAAACAGAACCGCAAACTCGGTGCCAAGTCTGTCTTCTCATCAAAAACAAAACGGACTTTGTCGTACAGCTGTCAGGAACGAGTACCTTCTCCATGTAAGCCAAAAGTGTGCTTTATTGGTATAATACTCAAACCGAAAGAGGGTAGTTCATCCTTACCAAGTATATAAAAATGCTATGCATAATCAGCCTTGTGTGTCAAAATTATTAGTTCACCTGATTTGCCACTTAGCAATGACCTGAGAAGAAGACAGCCTGGGGAAAAAAAAATTAAATTAAACAAAGAAATAAAATGCTCTATTTTCCTAATGTTTTTCTACTTGACTAGGTCTAATTCTTAGATTTCCATGGACAGTGTGTTACTTAAAAATTGAAATAATTCTTTGAAAGAATGGCATACCTTTCCCCTTGTAATCCAATTGTTTGGCAGATGTGGTCCTAAAAAAAAACAAAAAACATTTCATTCAAGAAGCTAGAAGATTTCACTCTTATTCCAAGGAATGGATGTTCGTTCTCCATTCAAGGGTACCGTTCAGTGGGGCAAAAACATAGTGAAAAGCAACCACTGCTTCTTTGATCTATGAAAAAAAAAAATGAGAACACTTTCTTGGGCAAGAAATGGAAGGTAGCCCAAGAATGTAGGCCAGATATTTCAAACATGCAACTCACTCTTGAATCCAGCTTCTTCTCCAGCCTCTGTTCCATGCTCAGGAAGAGTTCTAAGAACTCAAAAAGTACATCTTTGCTTAATTTCTATTGGTCCTAATAAAAAATATTAGCTAACTGTAAGAACAGGTATTCTTTGACTTAAATTCATTTAGTGACCGTTTAGTGACCACTGAAAAAAAAGTGACGTGACCATTTTTCATACTTCAGACTGCTGCAGCATCCCCATGGTCATGTGATCCAAACTTTGGGCGCATGGCAGCTCACATGTATTGATGACGGTTGTCGTGTCCCGGGGTCATGTGATTCAGCTTTTGTGATCTTCTGCCAAGCAAAGTCAATGGGGGAGCCAGATTAGTTTAACAACCTCGTTACTAACTTAACATCGGGAGTCATTTGCTTAACACCTATGGCAAGAAAGGTTTGCAAAGTGGGGCAAAGCTCACTTAACAGATGTCTCACTTAACAAAAGGAACGCTGAGCTCAATGGTGGTCATATGTCAAGGACTAGGAGAGAAGCAACCTAGAACTAAGGAGAAACTTCCTGACAGTGAGAACAATTAATCAGTGGAACAGCCTGCCTCCAGAAGCAGAAAATGCTCCAACACTGGAAGTTTTTAAGAAGAGACTGGACAGCCATTTGTCCGAAATGGTGTAGGGTTTCCTGCCTGAGCAGGGGGTTGGACTAGATGACCTCCAAGGTCCCTTCCAACGTTACTACTATTATTATTATTACTAGCTGTATTTGTTATGGGGCATCACATAGTCAGCCAGATGTTTAGACGGGGCTTGGCATTTTTATCCTCTCCGTCCTTCCCAGATGGTATTAAAGGCATCGCTGCAGGATGTAAGCTGCCTTTCGTAATTGTCTGACGGTAATTTTGTCAATGTCAGCAGTGTGCAGAGGTATCCAGATATTGTGGGATTGCACCCAAGGCACCTATTATCCTTGGTCCTATCTTTGCTTCCTTTTGCCATTGTCATTATTTGATTTGTATGGCTGCCCATTTCAACTAAGCTGTTACGGGCAGCTCTCCAATGGGAATAATACCTGGCTGTGTCATTTGGAAAGTTGGTTTTGCATGTTTACTTTATTATTATTATTATTATTATTATTAATTTAGGTCACTACCGGATTAAAGACTCCCTAATAAGAGTGTCTCCTCCAGTGCTGGTGTCCTGCTTTAGATCCAAAACGGGTCGTACAATCAACCCAGAAACCCTGAGCCCAGGACCAGCAGCCTATCAGCAGCCAGTTGAAACCTCAGTTGGACCATCAAAGAGATTCTCTGGATTGTAAGTCCTGAAAAGATGTTTACCAAACATCTCCAGCTGCCTTTCTTAAATAGCAAATCAATTGGCATGTCTCTAAACCAGTGCTTCTCAACCTTGGCAACTTTAAGACGTGTGGACCTTGACTCCCAGAATTCTCCAGCCAGCCAAGCTGGCTGGAGAATTCTGGGAGTCGAAGTCCACACGTCTTAAAGTTGCCAAGGTTGAGAAGCACTGCAGTCTAAACCTTTTCTTGTTGCACATTTCCTTGGTCCCGTTGCAAAAAGAACGTTCCAGGCAGATGGTGACGCTGATAGCACGACCCCAAATAATCAAAGAAAAGCAGAATAAAATAAATGTTGGTCTCAAAGCAGTTGGACGAGAAAATTCCAAGGCTTGTCTTATGAAAAGGTAGGGGCATGCAGGAATATCCAGGATGCGATTCTTCCTTAATTCCAGATGTGACAACCTAATAGCAAATATTGCTCAGTCTGCACAGAGTAGTGAATATATTGTGGTATGTATAACTGAGTACATTTCTGGATTTAAAGAGATTGGACTACAGAACTCATTTTTTAAATCTCAAACCCAAATTTAATTTTGCATCAATGTGTGTAATCGATGGATTTTGACCTTCTCTTTAACAATCTCTAGGTGCTTTCATACTTCCCGTTCATAGGTGACCCAAGGCCTAATAAAACTATTAGCCAGTTGCTCAACCAAGTCCATTTTATAGAGACTGTCCTGCAAACAATGGAGCCATTTTGCTAGAGATAAGATTAAGATCTACCCTCTGCATTCTTGCCCAGATACTTCTCGAAGCTCACCCTTCCTCCTCTCCTAATACAAATCTGCTACTCTCTGCACACGGTCAGAGTATCTTTACTACATCTCATGCCTTTTTAATATAGGGGGAACAGACAGTGGGTAACAGCCATAAACCAACCAAACACGGAAGAGGTAGATCAAACCTGATGAATAAATGACATTTCTGCGGGCAGAAAATACTAGAAGTATCAACATTCCAGAGGCCATTTCAATTCCCATTGATGTCAAGCTGACGTTAGAGTAACTGCTGATACATGTCCCCATCTTTTCTAATGAGAAGAGCAACTTCCAGTTATTTTCAAGAAGTCCCTAAAAAGTGGCCCAGAATTACCATGCAGAATTACCGTGTGGAAGGTATTCTACAGTAAAAGTATGTTGCGGGAAATCCTGGGAAAATAAATGTTTGATTTAAAGCAGGGTTTCTTGACCTTGGCAACTCCAAGATGGGTGGAATTCAACTGCCAGAATTCCCCAGCCAGAAGGTTTAAAATGCATCTTAAAGTTGTCCAGGTTGAGAAATGCTGCTTGAAAGAGTGGCAGCCAGGTGTTACGATTGCACGTTTTGTACATTTTTGAAGCACGTGACTCCAAGCTGTTGTACATGCTATCCTGGGGGATCTTGAAACACCAAGAACTTTGAAAGCCAAGGTGATGTCATGCAGATGTCCCTACAAAATAAGAGTCAACTTAGAATTGTGCTAAACATGGTTCTAATTTATTCTAATCTCAACTTAGATTTGTTATTAGGCCATGTAGATTGGGGAACTTGGGAATGGTAGCCCTTAAATTTCTAGTTGAAGAGGACTTGTCATAAGTTCCCACTCCAATTGAAATAACCCTAGTTTTGCTTGAAACCACAGACCAGTGGTTCTCAACCTTTTTAATGCCGTGACCCCAACCGGTCGTAAATTGAGGACTACCCCACTGGTTGTAAGTCAAGGACTTTCCCTGCCTGGGAGCGCCACACATGCGTAGTGCCGCCCCCTGCGCCGGCCGAGGTGTAGCTGGCAAGCGGCAGAGACGGCGCAGGCCGACCACCGGCTGGGCCACCAGCTGGCCCAGCCCAAGGGAGGTAAGGCACCCGCCGGGCCCCACGTGCGCCAGCAACCCTCCCTGCGTCCGCCAGCCTCCCACCCCTGGCCCTCTTTTACTTACATTTTTAGTAGTTGCTCAGCAGGGAGGGGTGGAAACTTCCAGACAGCTCGCCTTCGCTGCAGACAACTTGCAGCACCGTTTGCAGAAGGGGACTTTTGGCGGGCTCAGCAGGGCAGAGACAGCCTGGACAATTCCTATTGGCTTTTGAAAGCCAATAGAATTAGACTCTATTCAAGAGAATCTATTCTATTGGCTTTCAAAAGCCAATAGAATAAAAGGGAGTAGCACAGCTAAGGAAAAGGGGGAAAAAATGGTGGACTGTGTTGTTTGGCGACCCCCGTGAAATGGTCATTCGATCCCAAATGGGGTCCCGACCCACAGGTTGGGAACCACTGACTTAGACAGTGTCTTTCTTTGTTTTTGATAGGAGGAAGTGCATCTTGAATTTCTCAGTCCCAGCTGTCCCTCCCCCTCAAAATCCTCCTTTACCAGGGCCTGGCCAATATGACATAGTGGACTACAGTGGACCTCCTAAGCACTACATCTCCAGTGCTGTATTCGTCTCAAACACACGCCGCTGGGCAGGTGATAAATTACATCAAGGCATACCTGGACCAGGTGAGAATATAATAGCTATTGAATGCCCCTAGAGCAGACCAAACCGTTTTTTCTCTCTCCATTTTAGAAGGAGAGAGAAAGCGAAGCTCAAAAGAGGTCAGCAGGTTGGGTGGAGAGGCCGAGAGCAAGTGAAAAAGAAAGTCAGAGGGGAAGATTGGCAAATGGAAAGCACAAGAATGTAGTTAGCATGTTAGGGATATTTTTAGGGAATGGTCAAGAAAGATTTTATCTTCCTGGGCTCCAAGATCACCACAGATGGGGACTGCAGCCAAGAAATTAAAAGAAGCTTGCTCCTGGGGAGGAAAGCTATGGCAAATCTAGACAGCATACTAAAAAGCAGAGACATCACCCTGCCAATAAAAGTGCGTATAGTCCAGGCCATGGTTTTCCCAGTTGCAATATATGGTTGTGAAAGTTGGACCCTAAGAAAGGCTGAGCGCAAAAGAATTGAGGCCTTTGAACTAAGGTGCTGGTGAAGAATCCTGTGAGTCCCCTGGACTGCAAGGCGATCAAACCGGTCAGTCCTAGAAGAGATCAACCTTGACTGCTCTTTAGAAGGCCAGATCCTGAAATTGAAACTCAAATACTTTGGCCACCTAATGAGAAGGAAGGACTGATTGGAGAAGAGCCTAATGCTGGGAAAGATGGAGGGCAACAGTCACTGAAGCAGTAGGCATGAGCTTAAATGGACTCCAGAAGATGGTAGAGGATGGGAAGGCCTGGAGGAACGTTGTCCATGGGGCTGTGATGGGTCAGACACAACTTCGCAACTAACAACAAGAAAGTCAAGATGGCAGCCCTGACGATGCAGTCAAAGCTCTAATTGATTTTGTTTACAGGTGGACCTTTAATCATACCGTCATGTTCGCCATCTTGATTTTTTTTACTATATCTTGTGGACAGCCCTGTGGTGTGCCAATAGTAGCAAAGCAGAAAATAGCAGGGGGGTTGACCTATTTCAGTCCAGCTCTTGATGTTCCTCCGAGAAGTATGTTTTGCTGAGATGTCTTGGAAAACTATCTGTCTTGCAACAAAATGGGACTTTCACATCCTGTTGCCAAACCTCAAGAAAGATGGCGCACTGTGCTCCAATTTTTCAAAAAGGTTAATTAGCACGACCTGTGGCTTCCATGTCATTTGGTACAAGAGTTTGTAAACAGATTGTATCATGAATTACCTTTGGAAAAACATCCTCCCGTTCCCTGCATTGCCATCACGCTACTTGGTCATTGATGACCTTGTGGTGAGGTTCATAGGGTGTGTCACTACAGACGATAGATGATGAGTATGCATGATTCTTCAGTCCTGTAATGCTTGCCTTGCCCAACCAGGAAATGACTATAATAGCTGGCTTGGCATATAGTGAACTGCCCCAAGGCTATCTTCCTATTTATTATTGTTGATAGCAGATGTTTAGACTGGATTTGGCATTTTTATCCACCAACTGAGTTTTTCTGTTGGACCTGTGATAGGCAGATGTTGTTGTTTGATGGTGTTAAAGGCATTGTTTCAGGATGTAAGCTCTTCCATGTAACACTGCCTTTTGCAATTGACCAATGGTTCTTTCGACAATGCCAGTGGAATGGGACAAATTGCTGCTGTCAACTCATCATGGCCAACTCGCTGTGGGACACTTCACCCCAGGACAAGTCAACAAATACAAAAGTAACATTAATTTTGACAGAACTGTGGTCAATAATAATAAAATAAAAAAATTCAGTTCAGAAGTACAAGAGTTACAATTATTTCAACAAAAACAGGGCACCAATAATAAAAGTACCCGAATGAAACAATTAATACAGCGAGTAGGCCACGGTGAGTTGTCCTAGACCCCATTGCCAATAGTGTTCAAGTGATGCTCCAGATGTTTTTGGATTGCATCCAAGGTGTCTATTCCTATTGGTACTAGCTTTATTATGATGGTTGCACAGTCAGCCAGATGTTTACACTGGATTTGTCATTTTGATCCACCTATTGAATCCTTCCCAAGGACTTGGGATAAGCAGATGTTTTGTTTGAAGGTGTTAAAGGTACCATGGCAGGATTTAAGCTGTTCCAAGGAAAGCTGCCTTCTGCAATTGACTGATGGTAATGTTATCAATGTCAATGGTGACTTGCTTTTTTTAAAAGAAAGACTTCAAACCTGCTCTTATCCACAGACGTTAGGGCAAGTGATGGCTTTTAAAAAACCAAATATGACCAAAGCTTGGACCATGGAAGATATCCTGAGGTGTGGTGGAGCAGTGGTTAGAATTCAGTATTGCAGGCTACTTCTGCTCACTGCCAGGAGTTCGATTCCCACCGGCTCAAAGTTGACTCAGCCTTCCATCCTTCCAAAGTCAGTAAAATGAGGACCCAGATTGTTGGGGGTCATATGCTGACTCTGTAAACCGCTTAGAGAGGGCTGTAAAGCACTGGGAAACGGTATATACCGTAAATGCCGGCGTACAAGGTGACCCGGCGTATAAGACGACCCCCGTCTTTATAGCCGGGCCGCATTCCTAGAACGTCGCCTTATACGCCGGAAACTACCAGTATTTCCGGCGTATAAGACGACTTGGCGTATAAGACGACCCCCATCTTTGGCGCTGATTTCAGCGCTCGCGGAAGTCGTCTTATACGCCGGCATTTATGGTAAGTCTAAGTGCTATTGCTGTTGCTATCCTGTCATTTCCTTGCCTCGTTTTTTCCCCCTCACACTTTAATCTTTTCTCCTTATTCTTTCCCCTTTGCCTTTGAATGTATTTTAAAGGATATACCATTTTATTAGTTGCAGTGACATTTTTGTCTTCTGCTACAGTACAAGTAATCCTTGACTTTCAACCATTTGTTTAGTGACCAAAGTTACGATAGCACTGAAAAAAGTGACTTACTACCAGCCGTCACACTTACTATATGACTGTCGCAGCATCCCCATGGTCATGTGATCAAAACTCAGACAATTGGCAACCGACATGGATTTATGATGGTTGCAGCAGGCCTGGGTCACATGATCACCAGTTGCAATCTTCTTAGCTGGCTTATGATAAGCTAAGTCAATGGGGAAAGCTAGATTGACTTAACAACCAAGTGACTCACTTAACTGCATTGGTTTGCTTAATGGCCATGGCAAAATGCTTGTAAAATCAGCCATGATTTACTTAACAACTGTCTTGCTTTGCAATGCAAATTCTGTCACAATTGGTGTTGTAAGCTGAGGATATCCTGTATTTGCAGAAGAGCAATATAAGATGTTTTTCAAGACTCCTGCCCACTTCCTTATCCTTTTAACCAGTTCTGAATATTCCTTTACATATGAACAAGACCTTCCTTACCTGGAAAAGAAACACTAGGAATGGAGTTGAAATGGGCTAAAACGTGCTTGAGATTTGTGAGCAATCGGTCCCAAGTGGTAACATAATATTTCCTTCAGCCGTTAGAGGAAGTAAAGGACACCAGAAATCTCTTAAGTCCTTCTGACAACTGAATGTGCAGTTTGAGATGAAGACAATGGCAATGTTGCCTTTGATTTATGAAAAGTGGTCATTAATCACTGGTAATAGAGTTTCTAGGCTGAATATTTGGAATTATCAGGATAAACTACACATCCTAAAATATGAGAAGGGCTTAAATGGATTTTTTAAAACTTTTCAAAGCCCACGGAAAGCCAAATACTTTTTTTTTATATATAAAAAGGAACACTTATGACTTTCTTTTAAGAAAGGAACAAAAAAAAAAATAGAAGGAATTTTTACCGAAACATCTTTTAGTAATAGTTATTTTGCGTTATACAGTAGCTTATAAATCTTACAAGAGGTTGGAGCTTGTGTACAAATGCAAATTGCTTCAACTCTAGAGGGTTATTGTTTAAATCTTACTGCTTGGCATAATATTGTGTCTGTTTTGGTGTTCAACCATGGTTTGAATCTATCTTCACAAAAAGGTGTTGAAGGAACAGATCAGTTCAAATGTCTGCTAGGGTTCAAGATCTCTGTCTTAACCTTCTTGATCCACCTGGTAGATGCCACAGCCTTCACACTGCAGAAGGCCTCAGTGTTTCTTTTCAACTTTGTCGTTTTATAAACTTCAGTCATCCCGATAGTCACTGAAATGTGCAAATGTGTTATAGAATTGACTAAGGAGAAATATGACTCTCTAACTGCAAATCTCCTGAAAAGATTCCCAACAATGTCCTGTCAATGGCTTCATGTCTGCAATAGTGGTGAACATCTGTAGCTCGGCTGTAGGATGAGGGTGGAGGTTCATTCTCCGAGTTTGTGGGTTGGTTTCCGAACATTTTGTTACCAGGCAGCTAACATCTTCAGCGGAGCTTATGGGATGTCAGTGTTCTTCCACTATGTTCCAAGAATACATGACACTGGCATCCCCTAAGCTTTGCTGAAGATGTTACTTCCCCAAGTAATGAAATGTTTGGAAACCAACCCACAAGCTTGGGGAACGGACCTTCACCCTTAATGGCCTCATGTCCTCTGTTCAACACCAGGGAAATCAGGAGATCCAGGCAATTCAAATAGATAATAAAGATTTATTGCAAGCTTAAGCTCTCTACAAGAATCTGAACTACTAACAATCAAGGGAAATTACTGGGAGATAAGAGTAAAAGGAATTCAAGGTGGGCTGGACCTAGATCTATTGTGGGTGCACAGGGACTCACGGCTGATGATGTGTTTGACCCCTCCCCCATCTCAGCCTGGTCATCTCCTACAGCTTCCCTGTTCCCCCCACCCATAGCCTTTCACTTGATATCTGCCAATCAGGGCACCTTCCTACAAGTAATCCTTGACTGGTCTCTTAGTGATCATTCAAAGTTACAATGGATCCAAAACCAAAAGAATACAAACAAACAGACTTGGATTCATCTACAGCCATTTGCAGAAACCACAGTCATGTGACTGCAATTTTCAACTTTTTTGCTGGAAACCGGCATTTCTGACAAAAAAACACCCATTGTGGACATTGTGTCTGCTTAAAACTCCCATAGTCTTAAAATTGGTCGATTGCACGATGACCCATTTAATTATCGCCATGACTTAAAATTGTAATCCCGAGCTCAATTACGGTTGTAAATTGAGGATTACCTGTACTGAGTTGGACTACAACTCACATCATCCCTAAGCAGCAAGACCCTTTATGCATATTATGAACCTCAGCCAGTGTTAGTTTTTCCCACAAACCATGGGTCACTGTGAGCTGTGAATCTGATCGTAACTCTGCTTGATTGGCTTTGGACGGGCTGCCTAGACCAGCGGTTCTCAACCTTTTTATACGGCGACCCCCGGTCACACGGACGCGGCGCGCATGCGCGGCGGCGCCCCCCATGCGCAGCGCGCATGCACGGGGCTGCCCCATGTGCGGCACGCATGCACGGCGGCGCCCCCTGAGGGAAAAATGGTGGAGAGCCTTGTTTGGCGACCCCCGTAAAATGGTCGTTCGACCCCAAATTGGGTCGCGACCCATAGGTTGAGAACCGCTGGCCTAGACTATGTTAAATTACAAGATGGCTTGGCAGGATGTATGAAGACAGCCTGCCTGTGAACCATTTGACGGAGCTTCTGCAGCAAAGGAGGTGGAGGAAAGTGCTGCTTCGTCAGTACCGCTTGCACCTCCGTCTAGTCCCAACTTGCACACAGATTTTTTTTTTCCTGGCAGCACATCTGTGCCCTGAGCTGCATAAAAAGAAGGAATTTGCGAGACATTGCTCCTCCCGACACGCAGACGCAGCTGCGCCTGCCGAATTTCTGTTTTTCATGCATTTGAAAAAAAGTAACCCAGCCCATAGCTGAACTGTCTCCTCTGCAATTCTGTTACCAGAAAGTTTGGCTGCCAGCATCTGATCAACTCAAACTCGCAATGTTACGTGACGTGTTGCGACGTATCGTGACTTTTTTTCCATTGCCAGCAATGGGGTAGGCACGGTTTCGGCATGATGCATCCGGCCTATGGGCCGGCAATTTGACACTCCTGAACTGTGGTACCTAAGTTTCTTTCTTGCATTTGCCAAGCAGGGAGAAAGCTTCCTAGCAATAGCTTCACAATGTTTTACATCCCTCTCTAAGTGATTTACAGAGTCTGGGTCCTTCATTTTATCCACCTCGGAAGGATGGAAGACTGAGTCAATCTTGAGCCAGTCAGGATCAAACTGTCGAAGTGCTGGCAGTCGGCAGTCAGCAGAATTAGCCTGCAATACTGCATTCTAACCGCTGTGCCAGCACGGTTCTTAAAACAAGTAGATGGGCATTCCTATACAAGTAGCCCTTGACTTGCAGTCATTAATTTAGTGATTGTTTGAAGTTACAATGTCACTGAAAAAAATGACCGTTTTTCACTCTTAAGACCATTGCAGCACCCCTGTGGTCACATGTACACAATCCAGATGCTTGGCAACTGGCATGTATTTATGATGGTTGCAGGGTCTCTGGATCATGTGATTACCTTTTGTGACCCTCTCTCAATGGGGAAGTTAGAGTCACTAAACAACCTGTGTGATTAACTTAACAACTGCAGCGATTCACTTAAAAATTGTGGCAGGAAAGGTCATAAAATGGGGCACATCTCACTTAACAACTGTCTTGCTTAACAACATAACTTTGGGGCTCCTTTGTGATTGTAAGTCAAGGGCAACCTGTAATGCAGAGGCGTGAGATAAATATAATGATGCCAATAGAGACCACATTCTGCAGGCTGATCCTTAAACTCCCTCTAAAATTCTGTATTTCTCCTTCCAGGGACTTACAACCTCTCTATTCCACGAAAACAATCCTTCATGTATAACGTCAGCAACAAATGGGTGCCAGTATTATAAAGGAAGAGATTCCACAAGGTTGGTTTTGGCGGAATCTATTTTCAGATCCCACATCTTAAGAAAGCAGAACTCTTGGAAACAATTTCTTCCAACAGGAACTTTTATTAAGAGTAGTTGATAGCAGCCATAATAGACAGGATTTGAGGGATTCCCTTACAGATCGATTACTTTAAAGTGTCCCTAAGCAAACCCCACCCCACAGTTCATCCAGACGATTCAGACTGGCCAATCCCTAGGTGTTAGGTCCATCGTGGGAAAGGGGAGATAACATCAATCCAGGTCCTGTTTGTAGTGTGATGTTCCACAGCTCTTCACACCTCCTTTTGAGAACGGAGAGATAAGCCAGGTCCCAGAGGTTTGTACTTCTTCCCCCTCCCTTTTTCCTAGCTGCCCAGTTAGAGAGAAGAAGGGTCAGAGAGATGCATAGCGCAGGAGGCAATTTGTTACATTGTAATGGATAGCAGACACGGGGGTCAGTAACCAAAAGGTTACATTGTAGCAAATAGAGGAAGTGAAAGCAATAAACCTGCATGCATATCTCCCCTCCCCCTTGGAAGTATGGCAGAATCCAGGGAAAGGTGAGATTTGATTTTAGCTCAGAGGAGATAGATAGAAATGAAATATAACTGGATTCTGACAATATCTTTTGAACGGTGGAAAACATTCGGTTTTCATTTGTGCCGTATCATAGTATTAAAAAAGAGTTTGGGACAGAAAATCCCTATTGTTACCCTACCGATTTCAAGTCAGGGACTAATCTTTCTAAGCAGGGATTCTGGCCCAAAATGAAAAATTCTGACATGTTTTCCATTTACTTCTGGACTGTGGGAAATCAAGTGCTGGGGGAAAATGTTAGTGGCCAAGGAAAAGATACAAAAATATTTATACAGTTAACAGGTATGGAGAAGATGGACACGGAACTCTTACTCTCAATCTGAAATGGAGTGGGTGGTAATTCAATGAGATTTATTATGAACCAAGCAGATGGACTTGTTTCACAAAGCACAGTTGGGTCAACAAATCAAACAGAGCATCTTGGATAAATGCTCCTATTAGAATTGGACCTAATTTACTGAAATGTTCGCTGTGAAGGAAACCAGGAGCAGATTCAGAAGCTAAATATGAAAACACAAAGAGCTCCTACAGCAGTATTTCTCCACACTGCTATGGCTAGCCAGGGCTATCTCAAAGGCACTCTTTCAAGAGGCAACGGGGCTTTCTTGTTTTTCTTTGAAGAGGTTTTGCTTCTCATCTATGAAGCTTCTTCAGTTCAGAGCTGAAGACGCTTCTTGGATGAGAAGTGAAACATCTTCAAAGAAAAACAAGAAAGTCCAGTTGCCTCTTGAAAAATCGCCTTTGAGACAACCATGACTTGGATGACTGAGAATCTCCATAGACTCTCTAGCCATGGCTAATTTAACTTTTATAATAATAATAATAATAATAATAATAATAATAATAATAATAATAATAATAACAACAACAACAACAACAGCAGCAGCAGCAGCAGCAGCAACAACAACAACAACAATAATAATAATAATAATAAAGTTGGAAGGGACCTTGGAGATCATTGAGTCCAACCCTCTGCTCAGGCAGGAAACCCTACACCATTTCAGACAAATGGCTATCCTGTCTCTTCTTAAAACCCTCCAGTGTTGGAGCATTCACCACTTCTGGAGGCAGGTTGTTCCACTGGTTAATTGTTCTAACTGTCAGGAAGTTTCTCCTTAGTTCTAGGTTGCTTCTCTCCTTGGTGAGTTTCCATCCGTTGCTTCTTCTCCTGCCTTCAGGCGCTTTGGAGAATAGTTTGACTCCCTCTTCTTTGTTGCAGCCCCTGAGATATTGGAACACTGCTATCATGTCCCCCCTCGTCCTTCTCTTCATTAAACTAGACATACCCAATTCCAGCAGCCGTTCGGAGGCCTCTGTGAACCAAGCCTGAGAAGGAGAAACTAAAGAGAAACTTCCTGACAGTCAGAACAATTAACCAGTGGAACAACCTGCCTCCAGAAGCGATGAATGCTCCAACACTGGAAGTTTTTAAGAAGAGACTGGACAGCCATTTGTCTGAAATGGTATAGGGTTTCCTGGCTGAGCAGAGGGTTGGACTAGATGATCTCCAAGGTCCCTTCCAATGTTGTTGTTGTTGTTGTTGTTGTTGTTGTTGTTGTTAATCATCACACAGTGAGCCAGATGTCCAGACTGGATTTGGCATTTTTGTCTACCTATCGAGTCCTTACCAAGGACCTGGGATAGGCAGATGTGGATGTTTAATGGTATTACAGATATCGTCGCAGGATGGAAGCAGTTCCTAGTAAGACCGCCTTTTGCAATTGACTAATGGCAAATTTGTCAATGCCAATGGTGTTCAAGTGGTGCCCCAGTTGTTTTGGGATTGCACCCAAGGCGCCTATTACTATTGGTACTACCCTTGCTTGCTTTTGCCACAGTCTTTCTATTTCTATTTGGAGGTCTTTGTATTTTGTTATCTTTTCCAGTTCTTTTTTGTCTATTCTGCTGTCTCCAGGCACTGCCACATCCATCATCATCATCATTATCATCATCATCATCATCATCATCATCATCATCATCATCATTATTATTGTTATTATTATTATTATTATTTAGAGGGTCATGGGTGAGCCTAGCAGTGCAAATAAGTTCCTTGCTTGTTGAGTGAATTGTGATCTTCCCATACTCCAGAAGATCACAGTTGTGGAAAGATCACAATTCACTCAATAAGCAAGGTCCATCTTTGCATTGCTAGGCACATCCCTGACCCTCTAACTTCTCTAGACTTAGTCCATGGAAGCCTCCAAAAGTTCTTACCAAACTGTAATTTTTAATATGATAGAAAGGCATTAAAATCCAGTCATATATTAAAATTAAAATAGATGACTGGACTGTAATCATAAGCTAATTTATTGGAGGCTAACACATACGAAGAATGGTTGCAGGAACTGGGTTTAATGAAAAGAAGGACTAGGAGTGATATAATAGCAAACTGAATATGTCTAGTTTAATGAAGGATGAGGGGGGACATGATAGCGGTGTTCCAATATCTCAGGGGCTGCCCCAAAGAAGAGGGAATCAAGCTATTCTCCAAAGCGCCTGAAGGTAGGACGAGAAGCAACGGGTGGAAACTAATCAAGGAGAGAAGCAACCTGGAACTAAGGAGAAACTTCCTGACAAAGCAATTATTCAGTGGAACAACTTGCTTCCAGAAGTTGTGCGTGCTTCCAATACCAAAATCTTTAAGAAAAGAGTGGACAACCATTTGTCTGAAATGGTATAGGGTTTCCTGCTTGAGCAGAGGTTGGACTAGAAAACCTTCATGTTCCCTTCCAATTGTTATTCTGTTAAACAAATCTGGCTTAACATCTGTCAACGTTAGCCTTTTAGGTGTCAATGAAAGCATGCCACATTTAGTTTTTCTTCTGGGCAAACAGGCCTTGGAGCATCACTGAAGGAACGGTGGCCGTCCTCCTGGGCAAATTTGCATAACTCTGCAGGAAGTCATAACCTCACTTTAGAATAGAATAGAATAGAATAGAATGGAATAGGAATAGAATAGAATAGAATAGAATAGAATAGAATAGAATAGAATAGAATAGAAGACTAAAGAATAGAATAGAATAGAATAGAATAGAATAGAATAGAAGACTATACTATAGAATAGAATAGACTAGACTAGACTAGACTAGACTAGAATAGAATAGAATAGAATAGAATAGAATAGAATAGAATAGAATAGAATAGAATAGAATCAGAGTTGGAAGAGACCTTGGAGGTCTTTTAGCAGGGGGTTGGACTAGATGACCTATAAGGTCCCTTTCAATTCTATTATTCTAATTCTAATCTGCTGCTTAGGCAGGAGACCCTATCCCAGGGGTAGGCAACCTTGGCTCTTTTATGATTCATGGACTTCAACTCCCAGAATTCCTGAGCCAGCCATGCTGAGGGGAAAGGGAGAGGCTTCCAAGCTGAGCCATGCTGACTCAGGAATTCTGGGAGTTGAAGTCCAGCAGTCATAAAGCAGCCTAGGCCTAGGCCAAAGGTAGGCAACCTGGGCTCTTTTATGACTCGTGGACTTCAACTCCCAGAATTCCTGAGCCAGCCATGGCTCAGCTTGGAAACCTCTCCCTTTCCCCTCAGCATGGCTGGCTCAGGAATTCTGGGAGTTGAAGTCCACGAGTCATAAAAGAGCCAAGGTTGTCTACCCCTGCCCTATACCATTTCGGGTAAATGATTGTCCAATGAATAGACTGAAGCGTTGCTTCCCTGTGAGGTGACAGACACGTCCACCCAGATCTGTTTCCAGCTTTTGCAATGTCTGCTTAGATGTTCCTTGGTGAACCAACAGGAAAAGGCAAAGATGCTTGCAGGTGGTAGTTTAAAAAAAACAACCAAATGCCTGACACATAAAATGGGCCAGAGCTTTGATGACACCATCCTGACCGCCATTTCCTTTTTTTTTTTTTTTAACCCTAACCTGGAGACTCCCTTGGGAAAAGGGCAAAACTATGATTTGGGAATCTCTGTGGATTCTCAGTCAACCAGATGATGGTGGTTCCAAAAGTGCTTTTCAAAAAGGCAACTGGACCTTTCTTGTTTTTTTTTTATTCCTTGAAAATATTTCTTTTCTCATCCAAGAAGCTTCTCCTGTTCTGATTCATGAAGGCTTTTTTTTCCCCCTTGTCAAACCTGTTCCCCTTAATTCTTCGTTGTGTTTTCCACTCAGAATTCAGAACTTTTTTAAATTCTTCGCTCAGTTGCTGCTCCTCTTTGCCATCCTTTCCTTTGGTCCTCAAGTTCAGCTGTCAGGGATCCTGTTTTTATTTGTTTATTAATCAAATCTACATAGCTGCCCGTCTCCCCCAAAGAGGACTCTTATTCATAGCCTCATTAACTCAAGGGCAGGATGATAAAGATAGTCCTTGAGTTACAACTGTTAATGGAACCCGCCCATCATATTCGTAACTTGTGATGGTTGTAAAGCGGGTTGATCATGCGACTGACTCAATTTATGTCTTTTTTTTTTTTGCATTAAGCGAATCCATGATTTGCTATAAGCCAGTTTTGCCACAAAAAAACAGAAGCAAATGCTGGGTTTCGGCAAACAATGTGGTCATGTGATCGTTGGACGGTGCAAATGGCCATTAATGCACCTGGTTGCCAAGCGGCTGAAGTTCAGTCACAATGACCACAATGGGGGCCCAACCATTGGAATGTCGAATCCAGGTTGTAAATAGCCCAGATAGGTCCACTGGAATGTTAAATGGTTGCTAAGCAACAGGTTGCAAGCCAAGGATGACCTGTATTGTGCAAGAGGTAAAAGTGTTCAAAAAACTGTGTCTGCTGTTTAACTTCTGTTTTCATTCCAGCCCAGCCATACCAACTGTGGCCCTGGATGAATGAGTCAAGATCTGCTCACAGCCCATTTTTCTTGGAGTCAATTTAGCTTTCTGCAGCAATGCCACAACATCTGATTTGTGGAGTTCTTGGTGTTGGCTGAGCTTGGTGGTTTGCTTGCAGATGTTTCCTTACCCAACTAGGTGGCATTGTCTGTGTAAGATGATGATGTTACCTGGAACTGATGAGGTGACTTACTTGGGTCATGAAATGTCTGCAAACAAACAAACCAGGAACTCCACAATTCAACCCCTGAGCTACAGATATCCCCTTCTGTTGGATTCCTGAATTGTCCCTGATGAAAGAGATGTGGCTTAGATTCATGGTAGGAAGAGATTTTAGTTGCCCCCAAGTTTCTTCCCCAAGAACAAGGGATGGCGTACCCACAAAACACACACAGGGGATGATAAAAGTTGCGATCCACTGCAACACCAGGGGTTCTACGGGAGGAAAAAAAAGGCAAGCTGGCCATCACAACCATGTGTTCAAAGCTCTACTCTTTTTTATGTCCGTGCAAAAAAGGTCTCGATCACATAGCTGCAACCCCCATCTTGATTGTATGCATCTTAACAAATATATTTTAACGAATCATGAAAACTGCTTCTCTCTTTGGATCTATATCAGTGGTGGCGAACCTATGGCACGGGTGCCAGAGGCGGCACTCAGAGCCCTCTCTGTGGGGCACGTGCACCGTCGCCCCAGTCCTAGGCCTTCAGCTGGGTTTTATAAAACCTTTTCGCTTTAGGCCTCCACCGCCGTGTGCAAAAAAAAAAAAAAAAGGTTCAATCAATCAGTCAATTTCAACTTCTCGCAGGGAAAAAAAAGATCTTGCAAAATTGGAATTGATTGATTAAACTTTTTAGTCCCACCCAGTCTGCCGTTACCACCACAGCCATGCCCACCCAATGGGCCACACCCACCCAATGGGCCACACCCACCCGGCATCCAACGATGCATAAGTGGGTTTTGGGTTGCAGTTTGGGCACTCGGTCTCTAAAAGGTTCCCCATCACTGATCTATATTATGCCAGGGTTGCATTTCTGTCTCTGAATCTTTATTACAATAGAATATACAAAAAAAAAAAAAACCTAGAAAAATGAACGAAGAAGGGGACTGGGGGGAGGGGGGGGAGGAAAGACAGCCCGGGGGAACTGTGAGGCATCTTGTTTTGAAAAGCTGTACTTTCCTCCGTGTCAATATATAAAACAAAGTATATTTATACACATGCACATGTTTGGCTATTTATAAAATAACAAAAAGGCATCGGAAATGTATAAAACAGTCACGGTTGCTCTGGATGGGGACACCCAGGCCTGTGAGGCAAGAAGGGACGTAGGGGGAGTGGAGCCACAGGGCAGTGTCTTTGAAGCTAGTTTGAAAAATCACCATGTCTAAAACTTGGTTTTTGCCTCCTGACCCCAAGAGTTGACACTTCACCATTTCCAAAAAAGCAGAACAAAGGAGATTTAGACACTGCTACCTGACAGAGATTCCCCCCCCCCCTAAGTTTGGAATAGGGAAAAAGGTTAGAATTCTCGGTCTGGCAGACAACCAGCATCATAATACAGTATAAAATAATAACAATAATAATAATAATAATAACAGTAGTGACAGTAGTAAAAGTAACAGCGAGAAGTTCCACATTCACATTGAGAATGGATCTTCTACACCCTCTTCACATGTTGAGTTCAGCCACCATCTCTGGTTACTTTTCCACCCCCCTTCAAAGGGGGTCGCGGTCCAGTCAAATACTCCGGACTGATGGGTTGGGCTTGTGCAGAAGGAGAGTGATACTCCGCCCTGCTGTCAATCATCCCGTAGAAGTGCAGGCTTTTGAAGTCTTCAGAGCTCTTTGAGGGTCACCTGGAACTTCTTCTCAGCCTCCACCACGTCAAGGAGGAAAGCCATATGGTTGCTGTAATGTTGGATTATGTTGTTATCCATGTTTACCAAGATGCTGCGAGAGAAGAAGGAGAAGGCCATGGAAGAGTTAGTCAGCTCAATACTACCCTTGAATAACAATAAGAAGACCCAAAGTTAAGGCTGGGCAACAGAAGAGAAGAGAATACTGTGCAGGATATCATTGGATAGTCTTCCATCGGGAATTGCTCCAAGGAGAGAATTCGGCAGTTTTCAGAAGAAGATTTATGCTCTAAGAGTTCCTCCCACCCAACTTGATGCTCTTGTGGAATTTTTGTGAGGGAGCCAGGAGGAACTTTCAGGCAGAAAAGTGAGCACTGAGAAAGATTTCATGCTACCATCCTGTCTTTGATTCTTTCATTAACAGTGTAGGGATAAAACAACACAAAACATGGAAATAGTTATGGGAAATGGTAGAATAAAATGAGATTTATTTTTTTTAAATTATGTTTCTTGTCATTTGCAACCAATATACTTGAAGGTAATTGCTGTTAACTGGAAGGGGAAAGACAGACTTTGAAAGCAGTGGTCTTATGTTCCACCATATAACTTGGCTGCTTGAGTGTCATTCATTCATTTTCATTCATTCATTCATCCATCCATCCATTCATTTATTTTTTTTGCTCCTATTGCTTCTAGTGTCATATTTAATATTTGTACAAATAATATACTGTAATTAATTAATGCCACCTCCTCCAACAATGAAGGTAATCAAATATTAGTCAAGCACCATCAAATCACGTTGTCAAAATTGGACTCCACAGTGGTTAGTTTTCAAGAAAGCAGCTTCTGGCAATTTTGCATCAGATAAGGTGTGTGTGTGTGTGTGTGTGTGTGTGTGTGTTACAATATCTTAAATCTTTGAAAATCTCAACATATCTGTTTGCTCCCTTTAATTCTCTAACCTGTAAACAAAATTAGATTACACTGCAGTTTTAGCCACTATGACCCTCTGCAGCAGCAGTAGCATCACCACCAGATGCACACATGCAGATTGTGTTTCAACTCTTGCAGTTTTAAGATGTGTGGATTTCATCTCTGGGCTGGCTGGGGAATCCTGGGAGTTGAAATCCACACATCTTAAAGTTGCCAAGGTTGACAAAAACTGCATGCAATCCCTGGCAGAAAACCCTTCCTTTTTCTGCTTCACGAAGCAATCTAATATATCAGTCACTAAATGGCAAAAGAATGAAAGTTATCCATAATCATCTTACATGTGAGACAAGCATGCAATCCAGTGGTGGGATACAGCCGGTTTGCACCACTTTGGCAGAACCGGTAGCTAATTTTTTGTTGCCCAGGTCCAGAATGGACTTCCGGAAGTGGCATCCACACAGAGAACTGGTTGTTCACATATTTGAGTCCCGCCACTGATGCAATCCCAGAGTCAAGCTATACTAATTCTTAAAAGCAAGTAATCAGAAGAAAATTGATACAATTTCCAATAATTGCATTTTATTAAAAAGCAAAAAATCTTTGTGAACGGCACTTTATTAATGCCCTTGCCTCCAGCCTCATTGCTCCAAACAACCCAACACCTCTACATTTCAGACAACTACATAGCTCCACGTACTGTATACCAAAGCTGGTGCAGAGGTCTCAGGCACAGCTGGCAACTGAGTCTGTTCATCTCACTATGCAACTGGTGGATTTAGGTGGCGACTTTGTCCTTCCTTCTGGAGCACAATCCCAGCCAGGCCAGTCAGCCAACTTCCAAGAGGGAAAATCCCAAAGCCAGGAACTGGTTGAATTACCCTCATATTTTATATTTCTCAACTGCAGCACTGATTGAGAAGTTGTATTGTTATCTGAGCTGCCCAGAAGGACATTTATGCAGACAAGTCACCACGACTGGGCAGTAGTGCTTCCTGGTTTTTGCAGAACAGAGCAATTCCTTTTTCCTGCTCAAATAGAAATGTGGCACGTATCTGGTATATCTACACTGCCATCTCCAAGAGGACAAAAGAAAAAAAAAAGGCTGCTTTAGGATCAGAGGATCAGAACTGCCTACCTTTAAGGAAAGAGATTCCAGAAAGAAGCCAGCAGAGAAAGACTTGCACAGCTGGTGACAGTCTTTCTGCCTGCAGGGTTTGGCCAAGCAAAGGGGGGGGGCATCCTGTCCCTTAGCCCCATACTGGAAAGGATATTTTCTTTGGGGGGGGGTTTCCCTGAATTGCTTTTCCACAGGGCCCCTCTTAGGCTAGGGAGATCTTGGCGCTCAGGCCTGTTGAAATTTTATCCCACTAGGCTGGGCTTAGCTAGGCAGTGCCAGGCAGCTGCCCACCAGCTTGGATAACGTGGTTCCACAAGCAGAGATTCTCCAGGTGGGTGGGTGGCATGCTATGAGGCTCCAGCCTGCCAAAACCAGTGCCTTCTAAATACAGTGGGACTACAGATAGTCCTTGAATTATGTCCATTTGTTTAGAGACTATTCAAAGTTACGAGGGCACTGGAAAAAAAAAAGACTTACGACCACTTCTACGTGCAACGGTCGCAACCTCCCTGCGTTCACACCATCAAAATTCAGGATCTTGCAGCCAGCATGTATTTACCATGATTGTAGCATCCTCTCTCTCTCTCTCTCTCTCTCTCTCTCTCTCTCTCTCTCTCTCTGTGTGTGTGTGTGTGTGTGTGTGAGACATGATCACCTTATGTGGCCTTCCCAGCTAGCTTCCAACGAGTGAAGTCAATGGGAAAAGCTGGATTTGCTTAATGACCCTGCGATTCCCTTAACCACAGTGATTCGCTTCACGACCGTAGCACCGACGGTTGAAAACTCCGGCACGGCTCCCTTAACGACTCCCTCCTTCAGCAGTAGAAGTTGGGGTCGTAAGTCAAGAAGTCCCAGGCCAGCCAGCCGGTGGATGGGTGGATGTTCTGAGAGATGTTGTCCTGATGTTTTTGGAAGGGATCGTCCTTAGGAGGGGCTGAGCTACCCTCTGTAAGGAGGGTGTCCCTTCCCCAGCCAGCCTGCTTTGTCTGCCAATAGCCCCTGTCAAAGCCCCTGCCCCAGGCACACCTTCTCACCATCCTGAACTTGGCTGCCTCTCGGTCTTTTAAGCCCAGGCCTTGGACCTGGGCCAAGGCAAACATGAGCTCATCTGCCAAGCATCGATGGGGAGGAGCAGCCAGAGAAAAACCTGGGCTCCATCTCCTTTCCTCTAAGGGCTCCAGGAGAACAGGGAAGAGGACGCCTGGCGCTTTGCAAAGAGACAGGCTGGGGGAGATGAACTGCGGTTTGCTGGAGTTCCCCGGGGGCGATGCAGAGGCACAGCGCTTTTTTTTTTTTTTCCTGACGCCACTCTGGAAACCCTTTGCAAGCTGGTTCCCATGGAATGAAACTCGCCCCCCCCCCTACACACACACCCCCAAAGCTGGAGGGCTCACAATAGAGGCAATCAAGGTGTTTTTGGCAGCCTATCCTTGATGGAGGAGAGCCAAAGGGTTCCCACCAGGATTGTGCAAATGTTTGTTTTTCAGCAAGGGGGCAGGGGAGCTGCTTCCTTTCTAGTAGTAAGGCTGCCCTTGATGCACCCTC